GGGTTGAAAATCAGAACAACATTTCAGAAAAAAACATGTGGGTGGGTTGTTTGCATCTTCCCTGTCTCAAAGTCGAAATTATTTAATCATCTCTATGAGTGCTTTTCCTGGAGGTAATGCATTGACCTAACATATGCACCTGTTTAAATCCTCAGAAAATAGCCAAATTCCAACATATGACTGTCCGAAATCTGTTGCGATACTTTCCCTCCTCCTTTATAACATTCCTATATATTTCATTCAAAATTGCCAACAAACTTTTTTGTCTGCTGTGACATTCAATGTTAATAGGGAGGTTAAGTTACGTACGTGAACGTGTAGAATTATGGTCCTCTATGGATTAGTTCTCGCATATGTAGTGTTTACTTGGCCGATTGAGTATAAAGGTATACGGAAAATAACTGTAATAAGTCCCAGAGAAAAACCTGTACGTGAACGTGTAGAATTATGGTCTTCTATGAATTAGTTCTCCCATTTGTAGTGTTTACTTGGCTGATTGAGTATAAAGGTATACGGAAAATAATTGTATTAAGTCCCAGAGAAAAACCTGTACGTGAACGTGTAGAATTATGGTCGTCTATGGATTAGTTCTACCATTTGTAGTGTTTACTTGGCTGATTGAGTATAAAGGTATACGGAAAATAATTGTAATAAGTCCCAGAGAAAAACCTGTACGTGAACGTGTAGAATTATGGTCTTCTATGGATTAGTTCTCCCATTTGTAGTGTTTACTTGGCCGATTGAGTATAAAGGTATACGGAAAATAATTGTAATAAGTCCCAGAGAAAAACTTGTTCGTGAACGTGTAGAATTATGGTCTTCTATGGATAAGTTCTCCCATTTGTAGTGTTTACTTGGCTGATTGAGTATAAAGGTATACGGAAAATAATTGTAATAAGTCCCAGAGAAAAACCTGTACGTGAACGTGTAGAATTATGGTCTTCTATGGATTAGTTCTCCCATTTGTAGTGTTTACTTGGCTGATTGAGTATAAATGTATACGGAAAATAATTGTAATAAGTCCCAGAGAAAAACTTGTACGTGAACGTGTAGAATTATGGTCTTCTATGGATTAGTTCTCCCATTTGTAGTGTTTACTTGGCTGATTGAGTATAAAGGTATACGGAAAATAATTGTAATAAGTCCCAGAGAAAAACCTGTACGTGAACGTGTAGAATTATGGTCTTCTATGGATTAGTTCTCCCATTTGTAGTGTTTACTTGGCTGATTGAGTATAAAGGTATACGGAAAATAATTGTAATAAGTCCCAGAGAAAAACCTGTACGTGAACGTGTCGAATTAGGGTCTTCTATGGATTAGTTCTCCCATTTGCAGTGTTTAATTGGCTGATTGAGTATAAAGGTATACGGAAAATAATTGTAATAAGTCCCAGAGAAAAACCTGTACGTGAACGTGTAGAATTATGGTCTTCTATGGATTAGTTCTCCCATTTGTAGTGTTTACTTGACCGATTGAGTATAAAGGTATACGGAAAATAATTGTAATAAGTCCCAGAGAAAAACTTGTACGTGAACGTGTAGAATTATGGTCTTCTATGGATTAGTTCTCCCATTTGTAGTGTTTACTTGGCTGATTGAGTATAAATGTATACGGAAAATAATTGTAATAAGTCCCAGAGAAAAACTTGTACGTGAACGTGTAGAATTATGGTCTTCTATGGATTAGTTCTCCCATTTGTAGTGTTTACTTGGCTGATTGAGTATAAAGGTATACGGAAAATAATTGTAATAAGTCCCAGAGAAAAACCTGTACGTGAACGTGTAGAATTATGGTCTTCTATGGATTAGTTCTCCCATTTGTAGTGTTTACTTGGCTGATTGAGTATAAAGGTATGCGGAAAATAATTGTAATAAGTCCCAGAGAAAAACTTGTACGTGAACGTGTAGAATTATGGTCTTCTATGGATTAGTTCTCCCATTTGTAGTGTTTACTTGGCTGATTGAGTATAAAGGTATACGGAAAATAATTGTAATAAGTCCCAGAGAAAAACTGTACGTGAACGTGTAGAATTATGGTATTCTATGGATTAGTTCTCCCATTTGTAGTGTTTACTTGGCTGATTGAGTATAAAGGTATACGGAAAATAATTGTAATAGGACCCAGAGAAACACCTGTACGTGAACGTGTAGAATTATGGTCTTCTATGGATTAGTTCTCCCATTTGTAGTGTTTACTTGGCTGATTGAGTATAAATGTATACGGAAAATAATTGTAATAAGTCCCAGAGAAAAACTTGTACGTGAACGTGTAGAATTATGGTCTTCTATGGATTAGTTCTCCCATTTGTAGTGTTTACTTGGCTGATTGAGTATAAAGGTATACGGAAAATAATTGTAATAAGTCCCAGAGAAAAACCTGTACGTGAACGTGTAGAATTATGGTCTTCTATGGATTAGTTCTCCCATTTGTAGTGTTTACTTGGCTGATTGAGTATAAAGGTATACGGAAAATAATTGTAATAAGTCCCAGAGAAAAACCTGTACGTGAACGTGTAGAATTAGGGTCTTCTATGGATTAGTTCTCCCATTTGCAGTGTTTAATTGGCTGATTGAGTATAAAGGTATACGGAAAATAATTGTAATAAGTCCCAGAGAAAAACCTGTACGTGAACGTGTAGAATTATGGTCTTCTATGGATTAGTTCTCCCATTTGTAGTGTTTACTTGACCGATTGAGTATAAAGGTATACGGAAAATAATTGTAATAAGTCCCAGAGAAAAACTTGTACGTGAACGTGTAGAATTATGGTCTTCTATGGATTAGTTCTCCCATTTGTAGTGTTTACTTGGCTGATTGAGTATAAATGTATACGGAAAATAATTGTAATAAGTCCCAGAGAAAAACTTGTACGTGAACGTGTAGAATTATGGTCTTCTATGGATTAGTTCTCCCATTTGTAGTGTTTACTTGGCTGATTGAGTATAAAGGTATACGGAAAATAATTGTAATAAGTCCCAGAGAAAAACCTGTACGTGAACGTGTAGAATTATGGTCTTCTATGGATTAGTTCTCCCATTTGTAGTGTTTACTTGGCTGATTGAGTATAAAGGTATGCGGAAAATAATTGTAATAAGTCCCAGAGAAAAACTTGTACGTGAACGTGTAGAATTATGGTCTTCTATGGATTAGTTCTCCCATTTGTAGTGTTTACTTGGCTGATTTAGTATAAAGGTATACGGAAAATAATTGTAATAAGTCCCAGAGAAAAATTGTACGTGAACGTGTAGAATTATGGTATTCTATGGATTAGTTCTCCCATTTGTAGTGTTTACTTGGCTGATTGAGTATAAAGGTATACGGAAAATAATTGTAATAAGTCCCAGAGAAAAACCTGTACGTGAACGTGTAGAATTATGGTCTTCTATGGATTAGTTCTCCCATTTGTAGTGTTTACTTGGCCGATTGAGTATAAAGGTATACGGAAAATAATTGTAATAAGTCCCAGAGAAAAACTTGTTCGTGAACGTGTAGAATTATGGTCTTCTATGGATAAGTTCTCCCATTTGTAGTGTTTACTTGGCTGATTGAGTATAAAGGTATACGGAAAATAATTGTAATAAGTCCCAGAGAAAAACTTGTTCGTGAACGTGTAGAATTATGGTCTTCTATGGATTAGTTCTCCCATTTGTAGTGTTTACTTGGCTGATTGAGTATAAATGTATACGGAAAATAATTGTAATAAGTCCCAGAGAAAAACTTGTACGTCAACGTGTAGAATTATGGTCTTCTATGGATTAGTTCTCCCATTTGTAGTGTTTACTTGGCTGATTGAGTATAAAGGTATACGGAAAATAATTGTAATAAGTCCCAGAGAAAAACCTGTACGTGAACGTGTAGAATTATGGTCTTCTATGGATGAGTTCTCCCATTTGTAGTGTTTACTTGGCTGATTGAGTATAAAGGCATACGGAAAATAATTGTAATAAGTCCCAGAGAAAAACCTGTACGTAAACGTGTAGAATTATGGTCTTCTATGGATTAGTTCTCCCATTTGCAGTGGTTACTTGGCTGATTGAGTATAAAGGTATACAGAAAATAATTGTAATAAGTCCCAGAGAAAAATCTGTACGTGAACGTGTAGAATTATGGTCTTCTATGGATTAGTTCTCCCATTTGTAGTGTTTACTTGGCTGATTGAGTATAAAGGTATACGGAAAATAATTGTAATAAGTCCCAGAGAAAAACCTGTACGTGAACGTGTAGAATTATGGTCTTCTATGGATTAGTTCTCCCATTTGTAGTGTTTACTTGGCCGATTGAGTATAAAGGTATACGGAAAATAATTGTAATAAGTCCCCGAGAAAAACTTGTACGTGAACGTGTAGAATTATGGTCTTCTATGGATTAGTTCTCCCATTTGTAGTGTTTACTTGGCCGATTGAGTATAAAGGTATACGGGAAATAATTGTAATAAGTCCCAGAGAAAAACCTGTACGTGAACGTGTAGAATTATGGTCTTCTATGGATTAGTTCTCCCATTTGTAGTGTTTACTTGGCTGATTGAGTATAAAGGTATACGGAAAATAATTGTAAATAGGTCCCTGGGACTTAAATGATGAATTGAATTGAGAGATAAACAGTTAACTCCGGGGTTAAAATATTAATTACACGCTCGCTTAACCGCCCTACATTTCATCTTGATTAGTTTACCTCCCAGTTGCAGCTGCTTGTAAATTTTCGTGACAATGCATTCCAACAATGCCCCCCCCCCAACTGCTCCTAAATGACACTCTAAATAGAGTCTCCTTTCAAAATTATATCACAATGCTTGTGTCCCATGTCCTTCGCCATCTATTGTAAGTCCTTAATGACACTCTTAATAGAGTCTCCTTTCAAAATTATATCATACTGTATGTGTCCCATGTTATTCGCCATCTATTGTAAGCCCTAAATGACACTTCAGAGTCTCCTTTAAAAATTGTATCAAAATGTTTGTGCCCCATGTCCTTTAGGCTCGCTCAGTTCCTTTTGGTTCTAAAAACTCTCCATTTCAACAGGCTCTGCATTCTCCCTAGCATCTCCATCCTTGTTATCAAGATTCCGTGAGCCCTAACAAGCAGCATGAACATTTTAAGTGACACGAGGGCGAGACGAATTTGGAAAGTGCCTACTATAATTAGATAATACACGGTTGACACTTTACCATGATGGTTGGTTAATATAAAATCCTGTCTTTGTGGTCTCTTTGAACCACCCTATTAATATTGCATATTTATTGAGAAAATGGGCATTAATCACTTTTATTAATAGGAAAGTCCACTAAAATATGGAAAGGCCAATATAGCTTTTATCTTAAGGTACCAATAGTCTCAAACCTGCCCCAAGAAAAATTAAGAGTCGTTGTCCGGAATTTCGCCACAAAAAATGAACATACCGTTTCAAAGATTGACTTCCCTATTAAGAAAACATATTTAGTTTTGATTGTAACAGGGGCTTTTGCCTATAAAATGGGGTCGCACAAGATTCCCTTTTTACAATGTATTTTTGACTTTTTACCACATAACTGCAGTTCAAGTATGATATAACTTTGATAAAAAGTAAATACTTTTGATTAACAAGATAATATAGGATTTCGAAAATGTCAAAAAGATGGTTCTCACAGGATGCAAATGTCTGCAATGGTAAAAAAATCTGCGTGGCGCAGTGTTTTGGTGTGAATACATTTAGTAATAAAACACTTGTCAAATGCTTCAAAGAAGGTAATGTGACATGTATAAAAGGTACAGGGTGTCAAAAACGTTACCCAAATAAATATATTTGATGACTTAGGAATATGATGATATTCCCATGCCACACTTACACGAAAAATGGAACATAACTCAGTGTAGAGAATATATATATAGGAATATTATGCAGTAGTTTTTGTGGCGGACACCCGGACAACAAACTCCTTAAATAGAGCTCTTAGAAAAATCAGATCATGGACTACAAGCAAGAATTCATTTTAATTGATAGAGTGTATGTACTGCTTACTGTAATTTTTCTCCATAACCCCACCCTGTACGACTCAGGGAGACAGCAGAACAGCAAATCTGGCCATTTAATATATGTCTCCTCATCAACATCGTCTTTATCACTAAAACCTACAAACATATGCATATGACAAGCCATGAAAGGAGAGACAGGAAACTGACGACATCGAATATCTATTGACAAAGATAAAGTAGAATAATATCATGTTTAGAAAAGTGATTTGACAAAAGTTTATTTGTAAATCAGAAAGCATGGCGAATAAACAGAAAAAATAAACTTAAAAGAAACACTGATACTACCGAGGATGAATCTTTTCTAATTCTTCATCCTAGATACATGTGATTTTTAGCTCACGTGGTGAGCTATTGCAATCACTCACTTGTGCGTCTGTCTGTCTGTCTGTCCGTCCGCGTCCGTCTGTCAACAATTGGCCCGTTTTAAAACCTCTGTCAATAGGATTCCCGTTTTGAGTTATTTTTGTTCAAAATCAATTTAGACCCCCCCCCCCCCTATGACTCCTGGTTTAAAAGCTGCCTAATTTCAAAATGGTCGCCATTTTTGTCTTGCGAAATTCACTTTTAGCCCATTCCCTAGCTTTACTAATAATTTCAGATGTCCTACTTTGTACAAAGCCATGTCATGTATGAAATATTTTTGTTGCTAAAATCGGCAAAAATTGTATCCGTTTTTTTTTCATTTACAGCCATTTTAGTTAACATTGATTTGTCCATCTGTCTCGCGAAATCCGCTTTTGAACCATTTGCCTTAAAACTTCTGTCGATAGGTGTCCTGTTTTAAGTTATTTTTGTTCAACATCAGTACAGAAAAATCCCCTGTGACTCCTGGTTCAAAAGCTTGCCTATTTTCAAAATGGTCACCATTTTTGTCTCGCGAAATTCACTGTTGGCCCTTTTCCTAGCTTAAAAATAATTTAAGGTGTCCTGCATTGCAAAAAGCCATGTCACTGTAAAGAGTAGTAATCATATCCGTTTTTAGCCATTTTAGCCATCATTCACTTTTGAGCAACACCATGTGAGCCAAGTACCCACGGTACTATTTATAATACCAACATTAGTATTACCCGTTTTGCCTTGACTGTTTGAAACACTGATTACCCTTTGCCTAGTTTTGTTATCTGTTTAATGAAATACTGGTAATACCTGTCACCAAGCTTACGAGCATCCCTACTGTAAACGTCACAATGAATCCTATCAAGCCATACCAGGTGTAAGAAATTGAGTAAAACTTGTCCAAGTGTCCCCTTGAAAATGTAATATTGTACATGCATGAAAGATAAATCAAAAGGTAACCCTTTTCTAGAAACGACATTTTTACGATTCACGTTCAAATTGATAATTGCATACATTAGGGCTAAGAATGTAATGAATACGTTTTACATACATAAAGATTATACTTTGGGAGAATAAGAATTAATTCAAGCAAATTGGGCCAAAGCCATTTAGTAATTATAAGTCGTGGATAATATATACAGGGTGGGCCAAAAAAACCACCCCCCTAGCCAATATTCCTGATAAATATTTATTTTTTAACAATCACACCAACAATGATATATCATATTAAAGATAATTTAATTTGCAACAAAATGATATATAATAGCACCATTTTCAACAACCCCATATAGAAATATGACCATTTATGTGACATGGGGGTCAAAAAAACACCTTTTCAATTTTCGGCGATTTTGCGAACAATTGCCTATTTCTACCAAATTTTAGTAAATTACAACATTGTCATGAGTCTTTCATAATTGGATATTATATATTGTTTTCATTCAGTTTTTGAACCGCACATGCTCAATTTACATGTGTATGCTTATAAAACTAATTCATTTCTTCTTCAGTCTGTCCAAAAATAGCTCAATAGACCCACCCCCCTGACCCATCCTCTGATTGGATTATTCGCTTAAGACGCGGAAGCCATTGGTTGATGGCATAATTGATGGATGTATGCGGAAGTACCATTCAACTACTTGTTATTCTTTCTTTTAGTTCCTCTACATCCCTGATAGGCTGGGTATATTTAAATACCAACTGTTCTAGATGCCCCCAGGTATGGTAATCAACATTATTGGCAACTGGACTGCCAATAAGCCATTTTTCTGGGATAGAGATGGTGACATTTCGAATCTCCAAAAACTCCAGGGTAGCATTGGACCTGTGTGATGGAGCACTGTTCTATCAGAAAATGAAATTTCTTTCACATGTTTTTTATATTCTCGAGGAGTCCTTTTTTACCACCTCATGTCATTAACATTCAGAGTATATTTTTGCTCCTGGTTCAAAAAACAGGGCCTGTACGGTCTTTCCTTTTTGGGAAACACCGAGTGGACACCACCTACCTTTCAGAAAAATGTCATCTCGATTTGAGTAGCCTTTTATCGCAAATGTCACTATTCTTGCTTACTGATATAGAGTATAGCCTTTTGATTACATGTATAGTACTTGGGGCATTTAGAACAGTTGGCCTATGCAGATCCCTAGACCATCAGGGGGGGGGGGGTGTAGACAAACAGAAAGAATGAATAATTAGGTGTTGGATGGTACTTCTGCAGAGGTCCATCAATTATACCAATGGCTTTCGCGTTTTAAGCGAGAAATCAAATCAGAATTTGGGTCCGGGGGTGAGTCTTTTGAGCCATATTTGGACAGACTGAATAAGAAATGAATTAGTTTTATAAGCATACAAATGTATATTGAGCATGCAAGGTTCAAAAACTGAATGAAAACAATATATAATATTCAATAATGAAAGACTCATGACAATGTTGTAATTTACTAGAATTTGGTAGAAATAGGCAATTGTTCGCAAAATCGACGAAAATTGAAAAGGTGTTTTTTGACCCCCATGTCACATAAATGGTTATATCTCGAGCCAGAGTTGTTGAAAATTGTTCTATTATATATCATTTTGTTTCAAATTAAATTGTCTTTAAAATGATATATCATTGTTGGTGTGCATGTTAAAAATTGAATATTTATCAGAAATATTGGCTAGGGGGGTGGTTTTTTTGGCCCACCCTGTATATAAGTGGCGTCTTACTCCTCGACCGCTGGTACAGGCGAAACAGTGCTTGAATTGGAGAAGCCAATCTGATATTCATTGGTTGAATATGGCGTTGTACTAGTTTCATTAAAGAGTTCGCTGACGTTTTTAACATAGCATCCGTTAGTCGACGCCGGGGGAAGGATGTGTTTCGTGGATTTTATCGTGAACGCCCCCAAAGCGATCCACAATAAGAAAGCAAAACTGACCCATCCTCCAGCTGTTACTCCCTGAAAAAAATAAATGAACAGAATAAATATAGTCTCCCACTTTTATATGGTCGATCAAATAACAAACTTGCAGAAAGTCCGTAAATATATAAATGAAAGAAAACTAAATACCATTCGGAGGAATTTTTATTTTCATCATGTGGATTTGTATCCGGCAAATGTTTTACCCATATGTTAATATTAGCATCAGGTTACTGAAAGCTAGTCAGTCACGAGCAAATATATCCAGCAGCTCCAATAATCGAATAAGAATTCCTCACGTCAACAACCAGGACGTTTACACAACACAACCAAGACGTTACGAAATTCACCAGGTACAAATCAACCTCTTTGCATTGTTGGTGAAAATGATGAAAAGAAAACTTTCCTTCGACGGAAGTTCATCGATTTTGTTATAAAGCAGTAGCGTCTTTATAACCAGATGGGGACCAGTGATATTGTACCCCAGACGTATTCACTGCGTTTATTTATTAGTTATGTTAAGTATTCAGGTTATTAAGAGAAAAAATTCGTTTAAAATAATAAAATATAAGTATCGTCTTTTTGGAAATTTTACTTGCTATTCTGTCATTATTCTGTTTTTGATTGTTAATGTTTCATCCTGGTTTACCTTCCAGTTGCAGCTGGTCGTAAAGGCTCCAAGACAATACATCCCAACAACCGACCCTCCAACTGCTCCGCCCAATGCCACGGTGACCTGTGAGTGGAAGAGTCCAAACTGTATAATTTTCACTTACTATTTTACTACAACGTAAGGATACTGAATTATATATCTAAACACAA